CCTGTCTCATCTTAGGATCTCTTCATGGTTGCCAAAATCTGCTCCCGGAATTGATGTCTGAGGGCCAAAATTCTAGGAACAAGGCCAGACCCAAAAACCAAAGGCCCAGGCGAGGCTTTATCAGGGATAGAGCTCAAGCTGAAAGGAGGCACGGCACCAACAGAGAATAGGTAGCTGGCCTCCCCCTTTCTGGTGGACCTTCTAATCCTTTCCTCCTGTCTTATTCTCCCAGCAGTAGTAGAACTTTTGCAATATCAAAGTTGTTCACATTTATATTTTATGTTATAATCATAATCAAGTCTTTCTTAATTTGTCTAAAGGCTGACAAGCAATAAACAACAGTCATATTATTTTAACTATGTAAATGTTTTTCACTGCAGAGCTAAGTATTATGCCTGTAATTACGTTGCCTCCTCTATAATCCAATATCACAACCTCTGTGCCACTCAGAGTTCAGATGAGTTCTTTCTTAGCCTCATTATTCATAAAAATGCCATAATTACTTTTGTTTCACATTTGGACCAAGGCTGCTTCCTATAGCTTACTTAGCTAATGTCATATTAGCAAGCTGAAATGCAAATGTTGTGTGCACATGTTTATAACACTACATGAATACTTCTGACTAGCAACTGGTTCTGATACAATTGATAATCTGGGGACTTGTGTATCTGGCTTTCTGGAGTTGCCAGCCTTGTCTCCATGCGCTTGGCAGTGGGAGGACAAAGCTGGAGTGGGTAGAGCAGGTCCCTGCATGTCCATCGTGTTGGATAGACTCAGCCCCTGTGTTCACACCTCATCAGAAAGGAGGTGAGGAGTTGGATCTTCCTTAGTCAGAAGGAAGAAGAGACAGATTTGGTAAATGCCTGGCCTGGTCATGCCACGACTGCCTTCCATTGGTCCTGAAATTTTGAATTATCTCTATTTTTCCCCTTGTGCATTAGTAAAAGTTATGTGTTGTCAAAATAATACGGATGTCTTCTACTTTACACATGTTTGAATTTTTACTAGGAGCAAACTCTGTTCTTCTTCCTGAAGGCCATAGACTTTCTGTTAAACCAGATTGCTTCACATTTCACAGACTGTTGCTTTCTGTCCTTCCTGAAGTCTCTAGTTGCCACTGCTCCCAGGTATTGTACTTCCATTGCCCTTATTCCCCAAACCCAGTCCCTCCTGCTCCCTGAACTGTCCCTTAAGCGCTCTGCACTGGCTTCCCAGGCTGTTCTGTCACCACCCCGCTCAATCTGCCTGCTCGTTCCTAAATCCAATGTCTTCCTCTTTCATTGGTTCACCTCAAATGGCTTCTTAAGAACTGTTGCTTCAGAGGAAAATCCTTTAAGCCTTAGCACGCTTGCAAGTGTCCATGTCTGTGTCCACATTGATGGACACTAGAGATGAGTATAAACTTACACATGGAAAACATCTTTTCCCAGAAGTGTTAAAGCATTATTGGGTCAGTTTAAGTGTATTAGTGTCTTCTGCTGAGGTATAATTTCTCTCTTTCTCCACACACATGCACACACACACATATGCATGTGCACACGTGTAGGCAAGTGGACTTTGAAGTTTGTAACTGAAAAGTTTGGCTCAAGTTAAAAAAGTCATGTTTCGTAGGCATATGTCAAAAGAGAAAATGGAGAGGTTTTTAAGAAAGCAAACACATGTGAAATATTTTTTTGAGGGAAGAAACTATATTTGTAATCTTCTTGGGTAGAAAGATAACACACACATTGTGGGAAAATGCCACAGAAGCACTTGTTCAAGATGAGGTAGGTTGTAGCCCAGAGCTGCTTCTGGGTGTGCCGTGGCTGGTTGGGATGTGACTGTCATCACCTTTGCAGGGATTAAGGGGATGTTCAGCTGCCACATGCCTAATAAAATCCAATTCCTCAGTGTTTAGAACAGTGTTTCCCCCTAGAAATATGACACAAGTATGAGCTGACACATGTCATTAAAATTTCCCACTAATTACTTTAATGAAGTAAAAAGAAACAGGTGAAATTAATTTTAATACATTTTCTTAACAAGACATAGCCCAAGGATGAACTTCCCAACACATGATCAGCATCAACTATTACTGAAGTAGTTTGTGTTTTTTCCACACTCTTCTGGAAAACCTGGTGTGTATTTCACAGTTGCAACATGCCTCAGTGTGGAAGCCATATTACAAATTCTCATCGGCCACATAGGCTGGTGACGGCTGTTTCCTTTGCAGGCAGAGGAGTTTCAGTATTCTTTGTCCCTGCCACACAGATTGTTAACGCACGTGGAGTCATGCTGCTGAGTGGGCTTCATTTTCACTTATGATGTAGATTCAGTATAGAGATGTAGGTTCGTGATAAGGACTGATAAGAAAATGGGACTGAAGTACACAAATCTGTGTCATGGTCTGATTGGAATTCTTCCCTTAACTCCTCAGCAAGAGCTGAAGCAGATTTGAGCTGAATAGTATCGGAAAGTAGAGTCTATTTTTAAAATTAGTTTAGGCAAGAGATAAAAGGGAGCTAGCTCTTGATTAATCCGAAAAGGTTTCTCAAAAGGAACCTCATTTCAGATGCCGTCTGACTTTTGGAACAAATGACACTGGGTCTAATGAATGAAGATTATGGAAAACTTTGAAGAAGGTGCAGATTAGCTGGCGGTGTAAGCAAAGAATTGGAAACAGCTTTGTGCATGTAGGATCAAAAAGTCTGAACCGGTGGGGGCAGGGTGGGGGGGCGCCTGGGTGGCCCAGTAGTAGCGGAAGCCTCCGCCTTCAGCTCAGGTCATAGTCTTCGGGTCCTGGGATCCAGCCCCATGTCCTGCTCCTTGCTCAGCTAGGAGTGTCCTTCTCCTTCTCCCTCTCCTTCTGCCCCTCCCCCCATTCATTTTCTTTCTCTCTCTCTCTCCCAAACAAATAAAAGTATGAATGAATAAAAGTAAGACTTTCTGGGGAGGGGAAAAGCTAGATTTAATTCTGGGGTCTAGCTTTCCCGTTTATAAACTGTTACATACACTACAGTCAGATGCTCACACAGCCAGAAAACAACATAGGTGACGTCTGGACCCAGCGGCTTAGCACCGGAGGCCACATACCCAATCTCTACACAGTGTTATGAAGAGAAAAAGCAAATATTTTGAAAAGATGCTGTTCTCAGTATGAGGATTACGGGAAATGGCACAGGCTAGGCACCTTGCAAAGTCCTCAGCACTAAAGAAGGAGAAGAAAGCAGAGAAGGGTTTCAGGGGCTGCGGTGCTACCTGGGAGCAAGGTGTGCTCACACCAGCCCTGTGCTGTAGCTTTGCTCAAACCCCTTCCCTTTCTCTGTTGTAGAGATGAAGTGAGGTAATCCAGGTAAAGTGCTTAGCAAAGAAGCTGACATAGTAAAATTCTATAAATTTTTAAATTTATAAATATGAATCTATAAATTTATGAAATTCTATAAGATCTTATAATTACTCCTATCCCATCTGCCTTCCAGTCTTAAAAGCAGATTCTGGAACTAAATGTATGAAGCCCGATGGCAAACGATCTGAAAGTAAATTCGCGTAAAGTGCGCGACTTCTGTGGTGGCCGCTCTCAGAAGGTCTTCGTGCATCACTGATAATGTTTGGCATGAAAAAAGAACTATCAGGCTGATTTAAGGAGAGAAATTGAATGGAGGGGAGATGAAGTGCCTACTGGGGGGGTTTGTCCGTGCAGGAACCGGTCATTCCGTTCTACGGGTCACTCCTGAAATGCATTGGCAAGGGGCGCCTGGGTGGCTGGGATGGTGGGGCATCTGCCTTTGGCTCGGGTCATGATCTCCAGATCGTGCGCTGAGCCCCATGTGGGACTCCCAGCTCAGTGGGAACTCTGCTTCTCCCTCTCCCTCTGCCTCTCCCCTTGCTTGTGCGCTCATCTCTCTCTCTCTAAATGTTTAAAAATAGAAATGCATCGGTAAGACAGAAATCACATAGACAGCACACACGTGAATACCCAATCGCAGAGCGTGACAGGGTGGCGAACACAGAGTGAGCGATGTTCCAGATGCAGATTCTTTCTAGAGCCCTTTTAAGGGAATCCTCGATCAAACTCAAAGTATCTGAATAGGTAGAAAGTAGAGAGCATTCGTTTTCAGGTGATGGACATTTCAGTTTGGTCACTTAAATTGTAAGGTTTTAAGAAAACTTTGTGATACTGATGGTGAAATCTCTAGCCGTGACCAGGCAACAAACCCTGCACATGTGCCATACATATATTCTTGCATTTAATTTTCACGACAACCATTCAAGTTCCATGGGTCCGTAGGCCCTTTTTCTTACAGAGTCTCGGGCACCGAGGTGTGAAGTGACTTTTCTGAGGTCACCGAGTAGCAGGAGGAAGAGGCAGGATCTGAACCTGGGCGTCTCATGCCCTTTGTCCTCGCAGGGCTCTGCCGGTGTCCTTCTAATTTACAAGAGAAATAAACGTCTTTAAAAGAATCTTAAGTTTTAGTTTGGAAATAAACGCTTTGAGTTTGAATTAAACATTCTCTTCTTGAGAACTCAGTGCTTGAGCCCTGCCTGAAAAACCTGGGAAGGGGCAGGGAGGACATGGCTTCTGTGGAGATGTGCTATCAGAATCAGCAGGTGACTCGGTTTCCCCCTAGAGAGATGAAAGTGGGGGAGGGTGTTCACCGTCCTCCTCCCTCTCCACCCGCCCCTACATGCAGCACAGGAGGAAGTCTTCCAGCTCCACAGGCCATGCAGAGGTTGTGTGCCCAGAAAGGAGAAAAACAAAGGCAGTCAGAGGCCAGGAAGTGGTGCTGGGTCTTCTGTGTTTTTCGTGGAGGTGCAAAGGGTTTAAGCCACGCAGTCCTCAAACTGACCCCTGGAAGTAACCAGCAGGGTTGCAAATGAAAAAGTTTGTGCAAACTTAGCTCAAGAGAACCGTAAGCCTGTAGAGGGCTGTTTGGCTGTAAGGCCTTTCTCCTATTTTATTGTAAAGGCTAAATATGATTTGTGAGAGCTATTTCTTAGCAGAGTAAATCAACCTTGGAGAGAACAAAGCAGATAGTGGTCTGTTTTCTCAGTCTGATGGCCTTCCTGCTCTGGGGAAGGTTTTCTTTGGATTAAGCTGGTGCAAACTTCTTTTCTTCTCTCTTCCTTGCAGCTTTAGGGCTTTTACCAAACCCCACCCTTCGCCTGTTGTCCCAGGAATCTCCCACCTTGGCCAGAAAGGCAAGATGGAGCAGATGCAGCCGGGCAGTGTGTTCGGTGTGGTGCCAAGCGGGAGGTGCTCTGGCTCCAAGTAGAGTCCCCTTGGGAGACAGTTGGGGCAAGATACAAAAATATTTGAGAGGTAGTTGGCCGATGATTATCCCTTCTTTATTTTCTATTTCCAGCCAGTGGAATCTTTTAAGGTTAGTCTGAAATGCTCAAGAAGGAAGCCATGGGGAAGTAGAGACAGCATGGCGAACCATTTTATTGAGAGCAAATCTCCGTGGCAGGTGTCATATTATGAACTTTACATCCACTAATTTATATTGTCCTAAATTTTGAAGTTAATATCCATAGTTTGTGATGAGGAATTGAATTCCCTGACGTGCAAGGAATCTTCTCCAAGGCTACAAAGACGGTTGGTGCTGTAGCTGGTTCTCTCTTCATGCCTTTTACACTTACCGCCGACTGCTGCCTCCTTCCTGGGGAAAGTTGAAGGGGAGGTTGTTTGCTTTTGTTTTGTTGAGAAGCATGATCTGTAAACTATTACAAATAATAGCAAATGCATGAGTATCGGAAGCTCAGCTTCCATAAAGTCTAACCTTGTTTCTGTCTGAACACATGCATTTAAGATAAATACTCACCTAAATGTGTCAAAACACATTGTCAGTATTATGTGATGGTTTTAAAGCATACCAGATATGACAGCTGTTAGGTTTTTTTTAATTTTTAAAAACTTTTTTTATTAAAGAGATGACTGATTTTATCCATTTTGGGTGGTTGCAGTTTTCTTCGAAGAATGGGTGATTGTTAGCGAGCCAGGATGCCATGAAGTGAGGAACCAGGAACCGGTTTCAGGATCACCTTTGAGTAAACAGACTCAGTAATGTACGCCTGTGGTCCGGGGGGCACTGTCTCGAGCTGCAGATTTCTTTAATTGATAAGCCTCCCATAACATGACTGGAAATAACAATATGTCACTTGCCAGTGCTTTATGAAATGTCACTCAAGGTTTTTTAATTGCAGACATTCCATTGCTAGTGATGGGGCAAGAGAGAGGCTGGGGAAGATGTAGCTGGGGGGGAGGAGAAGGGAGAGAAGTCATGCTTTTTATGGGAGCCTATAAATTCTGTGATATTTAAAACACAGCTGTGTTTTTATCAGTTATGTTACCGAAATAACATCAAATGCATCTTAAATGATCTGTCATGTCAGGACCACACATTACAAAGTAAGATTGAGTGTGACAATCTTCATATAAGAAACCTGGCTCTAAATTAAGTTTGAATGGCTTTAGACAATTTTGTTTTAAGTAGTTTTCTTGCATACTGTGTAATAAACAAGTCTAAGTCTTACTAAAATAGAGGGGGGAAAAGAGGTATCAAAAATATATGTCAACATAAGATTATAGTAAATTTGGTTCACGTGTTTTTCATTTCAGTCTGTTACATGCTTTCTGCTAAGTGCCCTTTTTTATAACATTATCTCATTAAATACCATCTTGTAACAACTCTAAATTATAATCACAGGTGTCTATGAGCCAATTATTTTTCAATTTTGTGGGTTAATTTGTAGTATTTTTCTGTGATTTTATTCCAGGCTTCCATATTCAGTCATAGAGCTGAGCATGACTAGTGCTCATATAAATACCACCAGCCCCCCCCGCCCCCCCCAGTAAATGCCGTTGACTGGGACAGGTAGTAACGGGCGTGCTGAGTGGGAAGCACTTGATTGCTGGAGATCCTGCTTTGTCACATACGAGCTGGGACATCTCAGACAAGCTCTTTGCTTGTAAAGCCTCTGGTTCTGAATCTGTTGCATTAGGCTAATACTTTGACTCTCACGGAACTGGTAAGGATTACAAAAGATGCTCAAAGTGCGCCCCATGAATGGTTGCTATTATTACTGTGAGCATGATCATTGAAGAGCTGAGATGGAGAGAGAACAGGGACCAAAGGAGACTAGCTCAAGCTCTGAGAAGCTCTCGGATTTTAAAATCATAGAGCATATGACATTTTTTTTCTTTTGCAAGATTAGTGTTATAAACTTTTAAGTTTTAATTGATAGCATTTTATTCTCAATATCCTCAAAATTATACAAATTGTTATTTCTCTCCTCATAATTGAACATAATGAGTGTTTCCAATGTTTGCTGCAGCACATAATGCTATAATTAGTGTCTCTGTACATATAGCTTTGCTTTTGTTCTATTTAATCCGTTCCTAAGGACAGAGTTCTAGGAATGTTGTTTATGCAGTGCACACTTGCTCAACAAATTTCCATGCCTCAAGGAGTTTCTCCACAATTACTCTCAGTTTCGATGCTAGTATTTACTTTTAATTTGCTGAGAATTTAGTAGCATCAAAATGATGTCCCAAAGTTGCCTTAATTGTCTTTTGATTTCCAATAGAACATGCCTGTTTACTATTTGTATTCATTCATTCATTCTTTAATGAAACAGTTATCAAGGACCTATGAGTGTTCAGATACACTCCTCAATCAGGTCAGTAAACTCTTCCTATCAAGGGTCAGGTAGTAAATATTTTATGTCTTTCAAGCCATATCGTCTCTCTATCAGCTACCATAGTTAGTCGTTGTAGAGACACATTTCCATAGGTACTACCTAAACAAATAAGCATGGCCGTGTTCCAATAAAGTTTTATTTATAAAACGGGAGGACAAATGTGGTCCACAAGCTGTAATTTGTATCCATTAGTTTCTGAAGCTACAAAATGAAAAAAGTTTCTGACTACAAAATGAACAAAACAAGAAAAATCCCAACTGCCATGGAAATACTGTTTTTCATTGGGGATCGATAACATAGATACATAAAGAGATGAGTTAAAACAAATATGTCACATATCTAATAGTAATAAGTGACATTTGACTCAGAGCTGCAGTGACCAGCTGCTTGGTTGGTCCAGGGCTGTCCCAGTTTTGGCACCTAAAGTCCTATATCCTGAGAAACCTCTGTCTTTGGCAAAACCGACCTCACTTGGACCCCTTGTGGAGGTAAGAGTAAACCCTACAGGAGTATCAAGAGAGTGGTCCAGATCAAGGAAACAGCCAGGGCTTTGGTCTGGAGACTAGCACACACAGCGAGAGAATGAGGGATAACAGTAGCCAGTACGGCCAAAGCAGACGGGACAGTGGTGTGCTGGACAAAGGAGGTCAAAGGAGTGGTCCAAAACATGGACACTAGTTTCTATTGTGAACAATATGAAAAGGCATTAGAGTGTGTTGAGAATTAACATCATCTGCCTTAGAATTTAAAAGGATTACTTGGCCGCTCTGTTGAGAAGAGAATCTGTGGTGGGGAGGACAAAATCAGAGACCATGTTAGGAAGCCATCTCAATATTCAGATTGAGAGATGTTATTTTGAGAGGTGATGGCAAGGTGGCAAGGCATACTGTGAAATCCAGCTGGATTGAGAACATAGTTTGAAGAAAGGGCCAATAGGGTTCTTCAGCACTGTACTCCTGGAATGTGAAAGAAACAGAAGAGCCAGGGGGTGATGCCAAGACCATTTTAAGGAGCCACTGGAAGAGTGGAGTTGCTATCTGTTGAAGTGGAGAAGTTGGTGAAATTTCAGATTTGGAAAGGGAAGGATCAGGAGTATGACTTGGGTGTGAGTCTGGAAGGCTGTTTAGGCATCTGTATGGATGCATCATGTAGGTAGTTGGTTACATAACACTGAATTCAGGAGAGAGATCTAGAGTTGACAGATCTGGAAAAGTCCAATTTGAGAACTGTCAGCATACAGATGGAGTTGAAACCCATGCAACTGAGCCTGGATGAGACCCGTAAGGGATGTAGTCAGGGAAGAACAAGTTCTAGCGATGGAAACTCGGGCATTGTGCTAAGGATTGGAGGGTGGCATGAAACACGGTGGGGCTGAGTGTAAATGGCCAATAAGGTCAGAGCAAGCATGAGAAGAGTAGTTCCTAAAACTCCTAGTGAATAAATGTGTGTACACATTGTACCAGTGCCATTTTTATTGTAGCATATATGGAAGATAAAATCACTGGTAGAAAATGAGAGAAGGGATCACTCTACAGTTTTTGAAAACTTTTGTGAATTTGTAATTATTTCAAAGTTTAAAAAAAATTTTAAAAGCCTAGTGGAAAAACAGAAGCATTTCAAGGAAGAGGAAAAGGGTAACTGTCCATTGTTGCTAAGGGCTTGTGTGACGTGAGAACTGACTGTAGGATTTATTTGTGTTGCTCCTTGAGCAGCTGCAGTGGGCCAGGAAGGACCAAATCATGACTCAAGTGGGTTCAAGAGAGGATGAGAAAAAAATTAAAGATTTCAATTATAGACACTTTTTTTGAAATGTGTGCCTGGGAAAGGGATTTTTTTTTTTTTTTTTCAAATTAAGACTAGAGGTGTGTGTAATCTGGAGGGAGATATGGACTCAAGGTGTAGTTTTTTTAAGAAAATGGGGGTAAATTATAAAATGTATGCTGAGGACAATTCTCTAATTTAAAGAAAAGGAAAAGGATCATATTGAGAGAGCAGAGAGTGGTGAAGCTTGGGCTTAGGAGCTTGATCAGGGATGGAAGCAAGAACACACAGATGTTAACACTGGGAGGAATCTTTCTGGTGTGTACAGGGTGGATATTTTATGAGCACAAGTACAAGGAGGGGATCAAATGGGGTATCCATAGATTATAAAATTTCTTTAGATTTTATTTTTAGTAAACAGAACACTGAAATCACTACATAAGGATAAGAATATGGTGGGGCATGTTGGCAAGCAAAGAATGAAGGGACTATGAAATGGCCATCCCCCAAAAGGAAGACTCAAAACTGATGGAAATGAAGTAAGAATGCCATTTCAAAGGCCAGTGTGGATTTGGTCATCGATTTAAAGTTAGACCCATCTGCATATTTCTGGTTTTGCTTTTTCTCCAGCCATATTTAACTACATGTGAATAAATGTGGATTTGGCCCAAGTTTGAATCTAAGGTATTGACAATGGACTTGAGCAAGGGCAAGGGAAAAAGAGTTAAATAATGGCTGGGAATCTAAGGATGGCAAGAGGAGACACGAGGACATGAAGGAATGAGTGGAAAGTGGCAAGGTCAGTGAACTCTAAGGTCCAGGGAAGCCAAAGAGTCATTGAAGTCCAGGTGTCCAGGAAAATGGGGGTTCGATTACAGGACACTTCAAATGCAGCTCTGGAAAACCATTAGGTGTCATGTTGAAAAGATGGAAGGCTGGGTTTGGGACAAAAGGCTGGTTTGGAGCTGGGGTTGGAGAAGAGGTGGTGAGTGATGTGAGAAGCCAGTCTTCGAAGGACGATCCAGCATTGATACGGAAATCAAGAATAAGACCAAGCATGGAGCTGGAGAGAGTGGCCATGTGCCAGGTATAGACATATTCAAGGAGGAATGGGGATGACTTGGGAATTTTGCAGACGACTAAAGGAAGAAGGTGTTGGATTCTGGGGACCAGAGTCTCAAAGCTGGGGCACTACAGGGAGGAAAAAACAAAGTATCTGGAAATAGTAATGAGATGTACATAGGTGGAGACATCATCCAGTGCCAGAGCCAGCAGTACCTGGCCGTGGAAGCAAACTCTGGCCCTGTGGGAAGCCTTCTTGATGCACCACCTCAGAAGATATCTGGGTTTCCTTTACAGAAAGAGGAGCTGCCTCAGAAGGGTTAAGATGTAGGAACATTTACTGATAGTTGATCTTGAGTTTCACAGGACCTAGGGGAAGAGTCAAGAGCTTGGGAAGGATAGGAGGTCAGACCCATGAGATGCATAGATCTTTGAGGGATTGTGAGGCTGTCGGGTGACCAGGAGACCACTACTTCTTCCGGTGACCATATACAAACATAAAGGATTTATTTTATTTATTTTTTAATAATTTATTTTATTTTATTTTTAAAGATTTTATTTATTTATTTGACAGAGATCACAGGTAGGCAGAGAGGCAGGCAGAGAGAGAAGAGGAAGCAGACTCCCCGCTGAGCAGAGAGCCTGATGCGGGGCTCGATCCCAGGACCCTGAGATCATGACCTGAGCTGAAGGCAGAGGCTTTAACCCACTGAGCCACCCAGCCGCCACAACATAAAGGATTTAAAAGGAAAATCTCTTAATGGTCTCAGATACAACATAAATGGTGGTACCTATGAAAACATTACAAGTAGATTTGGGGCCACCCTTCGTTCCAGGCCCTAGAGCAGCAGAAGACTGGGAAAGTAGTTGCTCCCTGACCTTCAGCTCTTGTGACTCTCTCCCTCAGGACCATCCCTTCCTCCTGGGGACAGTAGCACGTGGACTTGGGAACTGCAGTCTTACCCAAAGCAGCATATCTTTTAAAACTTATGAGAAAACGGTCAAAAATAATTTAATGAACTGTGGTTGACTGATTGCTATCTGCCAAGTGGGAGGATATAGTAATCGCTATTTTTAGGGGGCAGACAGTTTTCTCCTGCATTGTTCTAGCACTTTACAGCTAATAATGCATTTAACTCTCACGTCAGCACTGTGAATCAGTGAATATCCACGGAGAGAGAGCATCATCCTCTCTGTTTACAGGTATGTAAACTGAGGCACAGAGAAGGGAAGAACTTGTCACACAAAAGCCAGTGGGAGAACTCCGTTCAGACCCGACCTCCTGACTTCAGGGTTTTGACTGGCACTGGTGTTTACACAGCCTTAGGCAGAGGGCACTAGAGGATATCTCCTAATATTAGAAACTGAACATCAGGTGTGCGTTTATGTGTGTATTCCTTTTTTTCCTCTCCTGGATAATTGTCCATACAATTTTAAAATTGTCCAGAGACTGCCCGTCCAGTGTATACCCTGCGTTTTGCCCTTTGTAACTCAGGAATTTACTTAAACCATCGCACAAATGTTTGGTAAAATCATGCATGATCCTGTGGTTCGGAGACAGGGTACTTTAATGATGTATCCGTTGTTAAACTTTCAGGTGGTTTCTATTTTTCTTTATGATAAATATGGTAAGGTATGTCTCTAAATAATGTTTTATTCTGTATTTTGAATTATGCCCTTAAGATATATTCCTAGCAACATTTATACCCAGGCAAGGCATATAATACTTTTAGAGTTTAGAATGAAACTTTGTGGAAGTTTGGAAATTCCTCAGGGGAAAGAGTGAGCTCTGATTTCTGCTTACAGTCAGAATTATTTTCGCCACTTCCAGAAATCACTAGATTCAAACACATCTTTTATTAAAAACCTTATCTTCTTCTTGGATTAAGTTGATTCGATTCAAACTCCTTTGAGCTGTAGAAGCTTCTTTTCAAATGAAAGATTTTTGTGAACCCTCAATATAGGAAAGTGATTTAAAGAAATAATTACTCTGATTGAAATTTGTCACAAGAGTCAAAGCCCACTTTTCCGGACTCTGTTTGGCTGCTTGTAATCTTTACATGGACGTCCTAAGAGCACAATTTGTAAACTAATGAAGTGACTTGGCATTAATGCTCATCATTTCCTTGAAAAAAAAAATTCGTAGTATGCCCCTTTTTACAGTCAGGCATGTACCTGGCACTTTAGAACCTGCCTTCATTTTCATGGACATTTTAGTCCATTTAACAGACTAAAAAAAAAAAAAAAAAAAAAGAGAGAGGTGGGAGACCATAGGAATATAAATACCATTTACTATATCAAATTTCCCAGTTGTCAGCTTCCAAATAAATCCCTCTGGTATAGCAAAATTAATATTAAAATAAAATTTTGATGTATTTTATTCATATTGATATCCATGAAGCTTACCTTATACTAATATCACTATATTATTTAAATATCGACTAGAATAATTTAGTTTATTTTAACAGTTACTTATCTGTTTTAATACATTTTCCTTTGTGTGGGTGATTTTGGAGTTTCCACCAGGTGGCTAGCCATGGGACTCGGAATAATTTCTCTGGGTGCCAGGAAGCTTGCTCCCAGTCTCTTCAATGTTTGGCTTTGATTTATTTGCTTTCTCTGCTTGCTTTGACTTTATCTCTTCTTGAGATAAATTCTTCTTGAAATTTCCCCACTGCTCTGCTGAGTATAAAATAAGCATTCCTGGTCTTGTGCTTTAACTACTTGCTGAAAACAAACAAAGCCAAGCAAACGTGCCGACCAAACCCCACATGATTTGCTGCAGTGATAAAACTTTCTTGGCAATTAATTTTTGTCTGAAATACCTCTGCTTGGAGGCTGGCTTCTTGAGGTGTTTGAGACAGTTGTTCAAACTTTATACCTGAAAAAGTTCCCCGTTTCTCTAACTAAGCCCACTTTCTACTGCTGGTTCTAGAAATGGAGTCTCTGGATGCCACACGTAGCCCCAGAAATACAAGTTGTTGGGGTCCTCTCCAGTAACTGGATCCTGCGCCTTGTAACTGCCACCGCTCAGAGAATGCTGGCATCCTCGCTCGGTGACGGCGTGGAGGGAGCTCACGAGTTTCAGGCTGCCTTCTAGAACCAGGGACACCAGTCCAAAGATAAGCCCATAATGGGCCAATGCTTTGCACTTAGCCAAATGCTAAGAAGTAAACCAGAGCAGGGAGAGGATACAGGGAGTGACCAAAAGTGTGTGCTGGTTTACCTTCAGGGGTCGGCGAACGGGGCCCAGGAGGGGGACACCTGTCTCAGGCAGGGGCAAGGGGAGCAAAGGCTCTGGGTTAGAAACATGGCTCTGCCCCAGGAGGCAGCCTGGTTAGAATAGAGTGAAGCAAAGGGAAGGGACAGAGGGGCACCGGGCAGGTGGGGTGGGCATGTGGGGGGGTCGGATCACATACCACGTTGATTTGATTCTGAGTGGTCATAGGAGTGTGATGGTTTTGAGCAGGTAATGTTAAGATGAAAGTTAAATTTTAAAAGAATCCATCTGGCTGGTTTGGGTAGAACAGATGTCTGAGAAAGGATGGCGGCAAGAAGAGGGGTTGATTCCGAGTACCGTTGCGTGTGTGTGTGTGTGTGTGTGAGTGTGTGTGTGTCCACATGCGTAAGGGTGTAAATGGTGATAAGAGATGATTCCAAAAGTCTGTGGCTGTAAGATTTTCTGTATCTGACTAGTGATCTCTCATTTTGAGAGTCCTGCATATAATTTTTGGATAAGGCACTTGTATCTAGTATTTTATTTATGAATAATTAAAGATAAAATATTAGTGTTTAATTACAATTTTTTGTATTGTTACTAGTTTTTCTGTGGTGGGTGAAGCCTGCCTTGTGAAAACGCATCAGAAATTACGGACTTATATATTTAAAAAATATAATTTGTCATATAAAAGCAGTAAGGTACATATATCACACACATGCTGTCCATCAAAATACTAATCCTAAGGTTA